TTCCACACACATGGGCCCATTTCCTACTTCTTTTGCAAGGCTTAAATCAAGGGAAAAACTGCAGCAAAACCCCCAACCCTTATGAGAACTTAAGTTTTGCTTTGGAAAAATCATGTAGATCTGATTCAAGGTAATTCTCAATTGCTGTTTTCTCTTTTTTAAGAGTGCCTTCTACAGAGGGCATGTACACCTGATCAACTTTGTATCACTGGCGACATTGCGGATGTCTCAAAGCTGAAAAGTTTGCCTCAAAAACAGATACTATTTTGTACACAGGGAAGTGAATAGACTTTTTCCACACACATGGGCCCATTTCCTACTTCTTTTGCAAGGCTTAAATCAAGGGAAAAACTGCAGCAAAACCCCCAACCCTTATGAGAACTTAAGTTTTGCTTTGGAAAAATCATGTAGATCTGATTCAAGGTAATTCTCAATTGCTGTTTTCTCTTTTTTAAATTACTGGATTGCCTTTTACAGAGGGCATTTACACCTGAGCAAAAAGTTATTTGATCACAGTTATCCATAACCTTACTGGGGAAACTGGGCAGCTTCTGTACTTTTCCCCCATCATTGGTTCTTAAGGCTTCTCTTCTGTGTAGGTAATTATCTTTCCCTGCACTGAAGCAGGGTAACTTTCAGGAACCTGAAAACCAGTAGTATTCTGGACTTCAGTATTTTTGAGCTACTTAAACCCAGTGCTCTTGCAAAGTAGAAGCTGGTGGAATAGGAGTCACCAAGAGTCTGTTCTTGTTTGTTCCAGTCACTTTCATTTCTCCCAGTGTAGCAAAAAGGAGTTTGTGTCACTTTCAGCTGATGTACTCAGTTAACACCGAATGTATCGCAGATCGAGTACAACTCAAATACAAAATGAAGAGCAAGTGTGGCATGCTGCGTTTCCAAATCTGGCAGGGCCCAAGCCTCAGAGCAGTGCTCAGAGCAGAAGGGCCAGTCTCTGCTCTGGAGGCCGGGGCCGGTGCTCCTCCCGCCCCTGCTCCGGGAGAGCTTCCCGTGACCGCAGTGGCCGGGCCCCGCTGTGCTCCGCGGCACGAACACGCTGCCATGAGCACTGCCCGTCTCACCGCCCGCACAACCGCGCTCCTTCCAGAGAGCCCGAGCTCCCCGCGCCCAGCCGGACCCGGCCCGGCGGGACCGACCGCGGACACCGCGCCTCCGGCCGGGCGGGGGAGCGGAGCGAGGCGGGGCCCGGGGCCGCCCCGCCCCATCCTCGGGGATGCCGGGATGTTTACGGGCCTGGCAGGAGCGGCGGGGGGCGGAGAGCAGGTCGGGGTTGCTGCCGGTGCCTGCGCCGCCCGCCAGGAGCCCCGCTAGGCGCCCGCTGCCAGCGCTGGCGCGGCCCCGGGCTCCAGGCGCCGGAGAAGCCGGGGAGGAGCGGCGGCCGGTGCCGGTGTCCCGCGGCAGGAGCAGGCGCAGCCAGGCTGCTCGGTGAGTGGGGCGGCGGCGGGGCTGCGGGCG